CTAGGAAGCTTGATGATGAGGGCTGATAATGCCACAGCGGGCTATTCCTGCAAGGCAAAGCGCCCCTCAAATACGGATTAGAGTGTGGCTAGAAAAGTCGTCACGTGCACATCCGTGGACCAGGCGATTCAAACGTTTAAGCCGTTCAAATCGCCTGGAGAAGACAACATTTTTCCTGCTTTATTACAGCAAGGAAGGTTACTGATGTTGCCAATTTTGGTAAAAATTGTCAGAGCGAGTGTCGCCTAGAAATATGTACCGGCAGAATGGACTAAGGTAAGGGTATCTTATATACCCAAAGCGGGCCGTTCGGTCCCTACTCCTAATGCCTTTCGACCCATCAGCCTAACGTTATTTCTGTTGAAACCCTTGAAAATGTTCTGGAACGGTATATCCGTACGGTGCCATTCGTATCTGGTCCACTGAGTCGCCACCAGTAGTTCGCCCAACTATCCACGGTGAAGAAATTTTTTTCTCAAAGGAAGTCAAATATCTAGGAGTAATCCTAGACAAAACCCTGTCATGGAATGGAATGGACTTGTAGCAGTCTTTGTGGAAAAAAATTGGGGTCTTACCCCTGAAAGACCGTACTGGCTCTATGTGACTGTGGTTAGACCTATGATCACATACGGAGCAGCAGCCTGGTATAGGAAAGTCCGACAGACTTAAGTTATCAGTAAACGTTCACGAATTCAACGGGTAGCTGGATTAGCAATCTCTGGTGCGATAAGCACAACACCAACTCTAGCAATGGAGGTTCTGCTTGGCCTATCTCCTCTGCATTTGCATCCCTCAACTTGTTGGGTTTAGCCGACGATGTTGAATTCCGACTATGTGCGGAGGAAGCAGAGACGGTTGGGTTGGGTCGCAGTTTATCTCCTCAAAGGATCTGAATGACCTTTCACCGAGCAAAGTATTAATATTCGTTAATTATAATTAATGTATTAATGTTGTGGCAGTGCAAGGATGGTTGGTCCGCCTACACGATATGTAGTCTATGTAATTTAATGTAAGTTGATTTATACAACATTGGCTATCACGACTACCAAACTGTGATATAGATGCTGATGATACCAAGCGCTCCTCTGCGTTATCCAAATCAGTTTTTATGCTTAATTGGTTTTGGAAATATTGTTTTTTCCGCTTTTCTTCTTGCAATCNTGCACAAAGCTAGACTATCCTTGTGGACTTGTCGCAGTCTTTGTGGAAAAAATTGGGGTCTTACCCCTGAAAGACCGTACTGGCTCTATGTGACTGTGGTTAGACCTGTGATCACATACGGAGCAGCAATCTGGTATAGGAAAGTCCGACAGACTTCAGATATCAGTAAACTTTCACGAATTCAACGCCATTTTACAACGCCACTCTAGCAATTGAGGTTCTGCTTGGCCTATCTCTTCTGCATTTGCATATAGAGAAAGTATAGAACAACCATTTACAGATTTAAGCAATATGCTCAAAATTGTCCCGACATGTCCTGCCAATGGCCTGCGGAAGACGTTATAAGCACTGATACTGTGCTATCAATGCCGTCAGATTTGGCGGGATCACTATCAGTGATTAATGCTCGATACCAGATTGTACTGTGTCAGCGGCAGTACTAGATCGAAAACGAAAATTCTCAGGTTCAAGCAGATATTTGCATGATCACAGATGGATCAAAAACGCCGGAAGGGGTCGGGGAGCAGGAGTATACTGCCAGACACCTCGAATTAAGCAAGCCTGGGTGCTAAAATCCTTCTTGAGAGAGGCGTGAACAACATCACAGTACGAATTCTCTCAGACAGTCAAGCCGCTTTCCATGCGCTGTAAGCCGTGAAAACGGTGTCGGCTCTGGTTAATGATTGTAAGAGAAAGATTAAACACACTGAGTTGTGATAACAGAGTTTCGCTGATCTGGGTCCCTGGTTTATTAACATCGCCACTGTCAAACCCGGGAACATTTTAGGACTTGCTCGTAGCAACATAAAAGTTCTAATGGGTGTCTTTACTCGGCACTGTCGATTAAAAGCACACCTCAACTTGTTGGGTTTAGCCGACGATGTTGAATGCTGACTATGTGCGGAGGATGCAGAGACGGTTGGGTTGGGTTGGGTCGCAGTTTATCTCCTCAAAGGATCTGAATGACCTTTCACCGAGCAAGGTATTAATGTTCGTTAATTATAATTAAGGTATTAATGTTGTGGCGGTGCAAGGATGTTTGGTCCGCCTACACGATATGTAGTCTATGTAATGCAATGTAAGTTGATTTATACAACATTGGCTATCACGACTACCAAACTGTGATATAGATGCTGATGATACCAAGCGCTCCTCTGCGTTATCCAAATCAGTTTTTATGCTTAATTGGTTTTGGAAATATTGTTTTTTCCGCTTTTCTTCTTGCAATCCAACTATGGTGCGATAAGCACAACGCCAACTCTTACAATGGATGTTCTGCTTGGCCTATCTCCTCTGCATTTGCATATTGAGAAAGTGGCTAGAACAACCATTTACAGATTTAAGCAATATGCTCAAAACTGTTCCGAAATGTCCTGCCAATGGGCTGCGGAAGACATTATAAGCACTGATACTGTGCTATCAATGCCGTCAGATTTGGCGGGATCACTATCAGTGATTAATGCTCGATACCAAATTGTACTGCCTGAGCGGCAGTCCTGGATCGAAAACGAAAATTCTCTGGTTCAAGCAGATATTTGCATGATCACAGATGGATCAAAAACGCCGGAAGGGGTCGGGGAGCAGGAGTATACTGCCAGGCACCTCGAATTAACCAAGCCTACAGCCTGGTTTTGTACTGTACTGAATTCCAGGCGAAAGTATTTGCTATTGACATGGGAGCTAAAATCCTTCTTGAGAGAGGCGTGGAGAACATCACAGTACGAATTCTCTCAGACAGTCAAGCCGCTTTCCAGGCGCTGCAAGCCGTGAAAACGGTGTCGGCTCTGGTTAATGATTGTAAGAGAAAGATTAAACACACTGAGTTGTGATAACAGAGTTTCGCTGATCTGGGTCCCTGGTTTATTAACATCGCCACTGTCAAACCCGGGAACATTTTAGGACTTGCTCGTAGCAACATAAAAGTTCTAATGGGTGTCTTTACTCGGCACTGCCGATTAAAAGCACACCTCAACTTGTTGGGTTTAGCCGACGATGTTGAATGCTGACTATGTGCGGAGGATGCAGAGACGGTTGGGTTGGGTTGGGTCGCAGTTTATCTCCTCAAAGGATCTGAATGACCTTTCACCGAGCAAGGTATTAATGTTCGTTAATTATAATTAAGGTATTAATGTTGTGGCGGTGCAAGGATGTTTGGTCCGCCTACACGATATGTAGTCTATGTAATGCAATGTAAGTTGATTTATACAACATTGGCTATCACGACTACCAAACTGTGATATAGATGCTGATGATACCAAGCGGTCCTCTGCGTTATCCAAATCAGTTTCTATGCTTAATTGGTTTTGGAAATATTTTTTCCAANGGGCACTGTCGATTAAAAGCACACCTCAACTTGTTGGGTTTAGCCGACGATGTTGAATGCTGACTATGTGCGGAGGATGCAGAGACGGTTGGGTTGGGTCGCAGTTTATCTCCTCAAAGGATCTGAATGACCTTTCACCGAGCAAGGTATTAATGTTCATTAATTATAATTAATGTATTAATGTTGTGGCGGTGCAAGGATGGTTGGTCCGCCTACACGATATGTAGTCTATGTAATGTAAGTTGATTTATTCAACATTATCTATCACGACTATCAAACAAATGTGATATAGATGCTGATGATACCAAGCGCTCCTCTGCGTTATCCAAATCAGTTTCTATGCCTAATTGGTTTTGGAAATATTTTTTTCAAATGTTATTTATTTCATTTCTCTGCATATTGTTGTGTGTGGTTTGTACCCTTGTCTTAACTATTTCACAAATTTTTAAGCATTGCATATTTTTTCTGCTTTTCTTCTTGCTTCCTCCTTTTTTTGCGTTTTCCTCGCTATTAATTTTTTATGTTTTACATTTCTGCTTGCGACACTCTCTGCGCAGTTTTGTCAAACCAGGTCTCCCGTTTTGACTCTTCAACTATTCCTAATACCTCCCTTGCTGACTCTTTCATAGCTGTCTTAATAATATTTCACTGGTCATCACTCGTCTGATCTCTATCATCGCTTTATCTTTATTTCTATTTCCTCTTTCAATATGCTTTGTGCGCTCCGGTGTTTTCTCATATTTCTGTTTGTGATTACTCGATAACTTTATCTTATGAAATAAAGCTCTATTAACGAAGTTATATTTATTATATCGTAATATTGTGAATAACTGTAAAATTCGCAATATTTAATGATTATGAAGAAAAAGGGGAAATGAAGTGTGTTGAAATGATTGATAATTAAAATTAAATGTGTGTGTAAAATATTCGTACTTGAAGTCATTAATAGTAAATTTTAAATAAACAGAATAATAATTTTTAACTAAAATGAATGCCAAGACTTTCCAGTCTTTTTTAGTTAGTTATTTTAGTTATATTTTTCGTAGTCGCGCCGTCTCGTCTGGGTCGTCAACTCGAAGGTCATTCCACTTTACGCCTCGCAGACATAAAAAACCATAAAATCACCGAAATCAATACAATTATCAATTCATCGATGCACTATCCAACGACGGCCATCTTTCTTCCAAAGCAGTAATCATCTTAACCAAAGAAATGCTTATCAGAAAACCATTTATCAACATAATCCTTTTTTGAGATGGGCAAAAACCTTGTACCATTTGATAAATTTCCACCTTTCTGGTTGCTACGTCTATGTGTACGTCGACCTTTTAGTATTAACTCTCCGCCGCTGTCGACGAACCTTCAACGTTGCCATCTCGCTCTAACTTTGTCACCTTATTGTTTTCTATCTTTATCTTTTCTCTCCCGCAGTATTTTGAACTGCGTCTGTCCAATAAGGTTCATCGTAAACAAAAGTCCGTCCTGCTATTCGCTCCTCGAAACTCTAACCGTGAAGGTCGCGCAGGCAGACAGACCGTTTTGCGAACTCGACGTGAAACGAACGGGAACAATAATATTAAGAGAGGAGGCCGTCGGGCCTGTTGTGTTTTTTTATTTTACCAACGCGTTTTCGTTTTGGATAGTTTTCCATCGCACGTGGACGGAGAATGACGGACACGATAGAGGTAGGCCATGAACGCGGAAACGAAAGCCTGTCTACGACGACCTTCGCTTGTTCTCGTACCAGATTTACGTAAAGTATAGTTTTGATAGAAAACAGCTGATCTAAACGTCAAACGCTTTTGTTTGGTTTTGAATCTACCCTTGCTAGTTAAATCGTTTATTTGTTTTTTTGGAAATGTTTTCTTTGTGCGTTCTGTTTTCTTTGTCCGGATTCGTATTCGTGGTCCGGTTCTTATTTGATTTTATTATGTCATTTATTTTGCGTCTTAATTTTATCGTGTAACCCTTCATAAAAAGATAAAACCGAAGTTGATTTAACTCCATTTCTAGACAAACGGTATAATTCCTTGAATAGTTAACGTCGCATGTTTCATTGTTCTTTATGTGTACATATTTTATCGATTCCCGTTTTTGCACGTCGACTCACCGTTTTACGTCGTTAACAGGGAATATTCCGATAATTCTTGATAAAGATTTTTTTTTTTAATTAGAAATAATCAAATAAAACATTCTTTACGCTTGTTTCATCATGTTATTCAACATATTTAAATCCATATTTACGGAAATCACAATCACAATTAGTGTTCATTCTTATCATTAACAATTAATTATTATTATTATTAACTTACTGATAAATTCTTTTTTTATTTTATCTCGATCGTCCTCAGTCGAGACTATTGTTTTTGTTATTTATTGATTTTGTCCTGCTTTGTACAAATCAAACAATGCATTATGTATAGTATCCGCTTTCATATCATTAATAAAATTTCACTTCATTTGATATAAATTAGTTTTGTTCATTATTTCTTTTACAGTTTATTTACAATCTTTTGTACGAAACGGCATTGAAAATTTGAAGATATCGTGACATGTGCAAAGATTTTGGATATTTTATTAATAACAACTATTACGAAGGAGGATTTCAACATTGAAAAATTTTTTCAAACAAAAAGAACAAGAAAAATGGCTACTGAAAGTGTCAAAACTGGATGTAAACAGGTTAGTTATATTTTATATTCATTTTAAGTTCTAATTTTTTATTGTCTTTGCTCAACCGGTTTCGACTTAATCAGCCATATTCAGGAATTGCTTTTATTCAATTATTTTTGTTTTTATGGCTATCTCCAGAAACATTTTCTCTGAATATTTAAATATTTTAATTAGTAGTCGGTGCTTTGCGATAAACATTCACAGCCAGGAAATTGGACCACCCCACAGTGTTAGGAAGTTATGAATATCTGGCCAAAAATCTAATTACAACTAAATGAACTTGAAAATGTTTAATAGTGATTTAATACCATTATAATATCTCCTTAATGTTTAGCTAGGAGTTGTTTCATCTATAAACAGTGCTTAAAACAAAATTTAATATTTTGAAACGAATTCAGTCCTTCAAATGTGGTTCATTTTATTGTTTATTAAAATATTATTAATTTATTAAAATATATTATCTTATTTATATTGTGGAGGGATTTATATTAGGGCAAGTTACCATTGAGTTAAGAAAAACGTCTGGACGATGTTCTGTAAGGTTCGCAAATGGGAGATTAAAAACCGTCAGATTTTTATCGAGCGATGTTGACCACGGTTGGTGGTTCTCAGGTGGTTAGTCCAAATTTATTATTAAAATTGTGGCAAAGGAGACTACCTCGTATTGTTTCGGTTGCACTCCTCGCTTCTGGCAAAGAGGACATTCTTTCCTTTGCCGACAAGGTGTGGGAATCAACGAATTTGACGTCGACCTCAACACACCTCTTGGAAGTTCGAAAACATCGCACCACAACAACACCACCACACGACGAATTACTAACAACAACAACGTTAACGTGTCAAGCACTTGTAACTACCATTACACAACAACAACAGCGACAGGACAAAAAATGTAGAAAATCAAATAAATTCTTTGACTACCCAATTTCAAAACATACCAACAAATAATAATAATAATCGCCTTTATTTTCCAATGAAATAATACATATAATCCATATGTTATTATACTTATTATACACTGTTGGAAATAATTCACGAGCACACCCTATATAATCTGAACGCGTGAAGATAAATCCATAATATTTGCGGAGCACAAAGGTTTACTGTAGACGAGTTTATTCAGCGAGTTTCGAGTTGTTCCCTCGCGGCATTGTTGACTTAGCTGCCTTTCCAAGTGGAACACTCCGTCGCTATGGAGGCCGAAGTGGGTGGAAAATATCGGTCGTTCTTAGTGTGGTGTGAGAGACTACATTGTTATCGTACTCTGTGCGCAATGGATGGGTGATCGTGTTACTTAACCCTAGGATGCATAAACCGGGCCTCTCAGGCGCGGCGAGATTTTAGTTACTCATAATTTTCTTAATATAATTTCAATCGGCTTGAGCATTTAGATATGCTCTAAACACGTCTTTATTCAATACACACTTGATTCAAAAACACTCAAGTGTAATTAGCAATCGAAAAAAAATCGTTTCCATTAGCAGCCCGTATTTGCATAAACCGGGCCTCCGAAGCCCGTGTACTACTAGTTACTATAGAACAAGTTTCAACTTGTTCGTTACAGGTTGAGGGTTATTATAATTTGTTAAACACTGCTGCGCGGAATTGTGCGTATCTGCGCAAGTTAAAACGTGCATTACTGTTGGATGTATAAAAGTAGGTGCAGCTGTTTTTCATTCAGTTGGAATAGAAGTTGGATTGAGTGAACTTGTAAGATACATATGATAATGGCGTCAAAAAGGAATGTGAAAAGCGTGAGATTTAGTGACCCTGGTTATGAAGAAATATTGGTGCAGTGGGCAGCTGAATGTGATGATCTGCCTTCTGAAAAAAGTAATGTGTCAGAAGCAGAAAATGATGACACAGAAGATAGAAATTTCGAATTGGTTCCTGACGAGTATTCTGGATCCAGTCCTGATCATGGTGACGATAATTCAGAGGATGATGTTGATGATATTGGTAAGCCTTCAACGAGCGGTTACATTGCTCCAAGTAGTCTGGTATGGAGTTTGGAACCTCCAGCAAAAATAAAATTCAACCACACAACATTATTCGGCGTGCGCCAGGACTAGCAAGGAAACATATGGCTGCAACACCAAAAGAACGTTTTTTTGTAACTCCAGTTATTGTACAAGAAATTGTGAACTGTACTAATTTAGAGGGCAAACGTGTTTATGGAACATAAGGAAAACCGTGGAAAGATGAATTTTTTGCATTCTGTTTTTTACTTATTCATGCGGGAGTTGACAGAAGCTGGGATGTTCCTGCGAGAGAATTATTTTGTGATGAATTTGCTAATCCTGTATCGGTATACAAGATTAGCAAATCCATATTTCGCTTTGAAGAAATACGAAGATTCGTCAGATTTGACGACAAGAGTTTGGAAACCGATAAGTTAGCAATGGTGTCCTACATTTGGGATTTATTCGTTCAGCAATGCAAAACCTGCGTCATACCTGATACTAATGTAACTATTGATGAACAACTCGTTGGGTTTAGAGGTAGATGCACATTTGTTCAATATATGCTAAGTAAGCCGGCAAAATATGGACTTAAAATATTTTGGATGTGTGAATCTACGTCTGGTTATGCTTTGGATGGTTTAGTTTATGTTGATCGCCAGCCGGGAGAACCTCCACATAAAAACCTGGGGCTTGAAGTAGTACAAACTCTTGTGCGTGGCATTCATAATTCCGGTCGCAATCTCACGATAGACAATTTCTTCACTAGTGTTCCGCTAGCAACTTATCTGTTGGATAAAAATATTACTGTCGTGGGTACACTACGTCAGAATAAGCGTGACATTCCGAAAGATATGAAAGCCTCAAAAGATCGTGTAGTTTACTCTTCATTGTTTTGTTTTCAAAATAACGTATCCATGGTAAGTTACGCACGTAAAAAGAACAAATGCGTAATTTTACTAAGCACCATGCACCACGACGCATCTATCAATGACGACGCTAAGAGGAAGCCTGAAATCATCTCTTATTATAATAAAACAAAGGGCGGTGTTGACATCATGGATCAAATGGTGTCGACATACACGTGTAGGTGGTAAAGTAAACGATGGCCCATGACATTTTTCTTCAACATCATTGATGTTGCAGCACTCAATGCATATATAGTCTTTACGAAGGAACATCCAAACTACAACATAGGAGTGACTCACAAACGCAGAATGTTTTTGAAAGATTTAGCGAAGGAACTAGTGATACCACATATGCAGAGAAGATCTACTAACCCTAACCTACGGCGTACTGTCCGGGAGTGTATGAGCAGATTTGTTGATATATGTGGTCCGCCAGCCGCTCACACAATTGCAACAATTAAGAGAAAAAGATGCTCAATATGTTCCGCAAGTATTGATCGTAAAAGCACAATGATCTGTATTACTTGTAAAAACAATATCTGTAATGAGCATAGTATTAGAATGTGCACTAAATGCTTCTCTAATCACTAAAAAAAATAATGTTTTTTTAACAATAATGTTCATATGTAACCTCATGTTTGTAACGTACATATGTATAAATAACGAGGACTGCGTGCGCGTCGGGCGATACAGCGGATTCTAGTAACACCCGAGCACCTCAGCATACGTCACGAGTGGGTCGACGCTAGGCATTAGTGGGTTTGCCGAGTAGAGGGAGATTTTGTTTTCGACGAATCAAGATTCGAATTGAGCACCGGTGATGCGCGAATTTTAGTTCGTCATAGACGTGGTGAGCGTCTACTCGAGCAGTGCGTGCAAGAACGCCCTATCCACCGACAACCGAGCATTATGGTATGGGGTGCGATTACACATGGTGAACGTACACGTCTGCTGCGTGTATAACAGACCATGACGGGTCAACGATACGTAGATGAGGTGCTACGGTCCGTTGTGCTTCCCTACGTTCGGCGGCGCCCAGGTCTTCTATAAATGCATGACAACGTCCGACCGCACATCGGTCGTGTTGTACAGACCTTTGTGGAAGAGCACAGTATACGAATGCTTCCATAACCAGCCCGTTTTCCGGGTGTGAATCCGATCGAACATGTTTGGAACATGACTGGTCGGAGACTTCAACGTTATCCGGCTTCCCCGGCTAACATTGAGGAGCTATGGAGGCGAGTAGAGGCGACATGGTTGGCCATCCCTCTCGCTACAATACAGCGACCTAACGACTCCATACTATGTCGTGTAGCGATGGTACGCGAAGCTCACGGAGGATACTCTCGCTATTGATGTTTCTCCTCCCAGCAGAGTTGTGCCGCTCTCTATGTGGGAGTAAGTTACACTACTTTAGTACTACTTCCATACCAAATTTTATTGCGCTAGACACACGCGTTCAGATTATACAGGGTGTGCTCGTGAATTATTTCCAACAGTGTAATATATCAAAGTAGTAGTAGCCTATCAAATAACTAAATACTTAATTATTGGAGAACCTCAAGGTGCAGTTCAGATGAGTGTCACTCCCTGTTCTTACACTGAACCTTGCAAATTAAAAAGATTTTAAAAAAATTAAGAAAATAAAAAGAAAGTGAACAGAAACTAAAAGTAACAGTAGAAATAATGGCCTAAAACTATTACTAAAAACCTACTTAAGCCTAATTAATTCGGCAAGAAAAAAAAAAATTCCGAATCAATTGCATAACATCATAACAATTCAATTCAAAAAGGACTCATTGCAAGGGAAGTCCACGCCATAAAGTAACTCAATTATTGCTCATTGAAGAGCAAGAGGAAAACAGCACGTCTGAACGCCACTACACCCTTAGTTTTAATTTCTACCGGCAGGTTATTATATTTAAAGTAAATGTTATAGCTAAAAGATCTCTCAAACAAAGCTGTCCTATGGGCTGGAGGAGCTATCAAGTTTCTATTTCTAATGTCCAAACAAGGACCATAGACAGGCGAGCAATAATTGAACAAAGACAACACCATACTTTCAAACAGCACAGTTTTAAGCTTCACACTGAAAATGGAAGCATAAGGGTAAAGCAACTTCAGATTACAAAAAGCAGCT